TCAGACACTGTGCAGAGGACATGGTAGAAACCAAGACAGACACAGGCATCCTGTTCATACTCTAGGATGCTGGACTCTGCAGTTAAGGAGATTTACAATCTTTAGCGCATCCACCAAGAGCTGCTTGTCTCACTAAGCACGAGAAATACAACCAGTGTGACTGTGAAGCTGAAACTCTAATTGTGTTTTATTTTGGGGATTTAAACAAGCACGGGTAGAGAGAGATACGTGAAAATAGACAACATCACTCCAGATATATCTCAGGCATAGTTCCAAGACTGACTGAGCAGAATGAAGATGCAATGTAAGAGAACTGTGCCCAAAGCACCCAGAACAGAGCCCCGGACACTCTTACTTGTCTATGCATCTATTCAATCGATTCTACTGAATGTCACCTACGTATAAACCTCAGGTGCTGGGGATGTAGTGAAATCGTAGGTTCAGCTCTGCCCTGAGTGAGTCTGTAGCTCAGTGAGGACATGTGAAAGAAATATCTTCACCATGGCAAGACAAGTTTATACTCTATTCTACTGAGACATCCATCTTCCACGCACAATGGGGAGAGGTTTTCAGAAGGATCTGTCTGGCCCTGAGCTGAGTCCTGCAGAGCTGATTTCAGTGATAAGACTCAGATGAGGTTTTTTCCATGTGTAACAACATAGGGCTAGTGCCCCAATTGCTGGTAGTAGTGGCAGGTATGAGGCAAACACAGCTCTAAAGAAAACCCATGACCAGGGCCAATTCATTTCTTTTAAAATTGCCCTCTTGTGGGTTGGTGGTAGTGGTGGTGGTGTCTTATTGGCTTTCTTCTTTGCCAGCCACATACTCTTTGACTTGGTGGTAGTTTTGTGATGATAATCTCTTGGCGTGTGTGTATGTGTGCATATGTGTGTATGAATACATATGCGTGTATATGAATGTGTGTGTGTGTGTGTGCATGCATAGGTGTGTGTGGTTGGAATCTCTCTACTTCAAGCTTTCTCCACTCTATAGTTTGTGACATGATCTCTCACTGAACCCAGAGCTCACTGATGTAGCCAGGTTGGCTGGCCAACCAGCCCCAGGGACCCTCCTCTCTCCATTCCTCCCAGCTCTGGGATTATAGGCACACAACACATGCCTCTTTCGTTTTCATGTTGGTGGTGTGATCTAAACTTGGCCTCCCTTATTGAATGGGCATGACAAGGGCTCTACTGCTGAGCCACTTCACCAGCCTACAACCTCCTAAAAATGGTCTCATCTGGAGTTGTCTTGATTGGATTTTTTTTCTGGGCGGTGTTGCTGCTACTTGGCTACTTGATTAGACAAACTTGGCTACTTATAAGTATAGATGATTTTGCTGTGCGATTCTGATACTGGAAGTAAACAAATGGCTCTGTGAATCTGGCCAGAATGTGAAGAAGCTGTGGCTGCTGGGAATCTATTGAACCTGGCTGTGATGGTGGTGTATGTTTACAACAGTGAAGATTAATGCAATCACTGGGTGAAGATGAGGGATAGTATATCCATTTATATATTTTTATGCAACAGTTTGATTTGTTCCAAGTTAACATGTGGTGCCCAGCCAAAGAATTGTGTAGCCCACAGTTAATCACATAAAACTAGGTACAGTTTTAAAGCTAAGCACTTTTGTAGAAGCTTGTAATCCCATCCCTGTGGAGGTTGAGGCAGAAGGATTGCTGGGAGTTTGAGGCTAGCTTAGTCTACATTAGTGAAGACTTTGTATCAGAAAACAACAGCAATAAGTAAGAAGAGCCTGATATGAAGCAGTTTCCACATACCTATCTGAGTGCATGAATTAAATTGCATGTGTGACTTCTCCCATCCCACCGGGGATGCTCAAGTACATGGCTTTATCCTGTCAAGTTCTACACAATTCTCGTGTAGCTAAGCTTTACCTACTTAGACTGTGGTAGAGCTGCCTCTAGGGAAATGGAAGTGTAAGTCGGTGTAGCTCTTCTATTCTTACAAGGAACAGTGGCTTCTTGTGTACCTATAAGGAACCTCCAAATAGTTTTGGCCTTTGCCTTGATAATTCTCCTTCTGGGAATCCACCCGAAAGAAGGAACTGGAAATGTGCGTGGTAAAGAGTTTGCCCAGACTTACTGGTAGTTGCCGAGGAGAGCAGGCAAGTTAAATAGCTAACAGCATAATAATACACAGCTGGGAAATGATGCTGGCGAGGGGATGCTCGCTACAAGACCAAGTAAGGAAAAAAAAACAACAAAAAGCCAGAGGCACAATAGCGACCGCACATCACAGCCGGGGAGCGTGGGTTTGCACTGAGGCTCTGCCACTGGAGTCGGTCACCTGTACACTCTGCCATCCTAGAGAAATGGGGTTGATAATAATAACACCTATCTCAGAGGGATTTCCTAGGATTAAGTGACATAATGAAGATAAAACGATTAACACCATGCAAAGTACACTTATTAGGTTACCTACAAATGCTAGCCCTCTATGGAGTGTAGGATCTCAAGGCGTAAAAATAGACAGACGAGAAATATGTCAATGTATTAAGAAATGTGAGATCTGGGTGGAAGGAACCATGGGCGATAATTTTTCACTTTCAACTTCCCAAATTTTCTGCAATGAGCAGGAACTACTGTTATATTAAGGGACTATCATACTGTTGTAATAGAATTCAATATGTATTTTTAAAAAAGAATGTTACCCACAATGAAACAGCACTTCCTCTTTCCCTTCCAGGGGAGGAGCTGGAACCAGCCTTGGCAAACACTTGCAGTCTCATGCTGGGCCCCAAGGAGGGTCAGGGGTTGAGGGAGCCTTGCCACCTGTTGTTGTTGTGAGGTGAGGCGGAAGGGGAATGGAGAAGCTGCAATAGATGGTCATAGGAGTTTCTTCCAGTTCTAAGACTCTACTTTCAAGCTGCCCTGATGTTTATTATTTTCCCTCACAGTTTGGTTGATTCGAACTAAAGACTACATAAAACAATAGAAAGTGTATGGGGCTAGGGAAGTGGTTCATTGGTAAAATGATCGCTGCAGGAGCATGGAGATCTGAGTTCCCATCCGTGTCCACCCATATACAAAGCTGGGCAAGGCAGTGGAGTTCAATGCCAAGGAGGCTGAGATAGGATAGGAGGATTCCCAAACTGGTCAGCCAGCCTAGCTGAATCAGTGAGCTCTGGGTTTAGTGATACCTGACCCCTAAAAATAAGGTAGAAAGTGATAGAGGACCTTACACACACACACACACACACACACACACACACACACACACACACACGGCATATATACACACACAGAGAAGGGGGACATAGACACACAGACATGGAACATATACACACAGAGATATGGGGCATATACACACAGACATAGAAGATGTACACACACAGACATGGGACATGTACATACACACGCACACAGAAACATGGAACACAAGTATACACACAGGGACATGTGCACACAAAGAGACACAGGATATGTACACACACGGGACGTGGACACACACACGAAAGCATTTTTCTACTTCCTTCCCACCCCTAGACCCCTCCCAGAAACAATGATGCCTAGAATGATGGAGTCAAATGTTAAGTGGATGGTGCATGTGTGTATGTGTGGGGGGATGGGCTTAGATCAGACCAGAAACACCACAGGAAATTAGCTTAGTTACAGCTGTCTTATTTAATCAGTAAAATTTATATTCAAAGTGGAGTTTCTGTCAAATACAGCCCTTTAAGCAAGAAGCACCTTTCCATGGAGGGGGCACCCCTAGACTGAGAAGGGTATAGTTTTAAAGGGTGTGTGTGTGTATTTGGTTCCTGATGTTTTGTGCTGAGCACCAACATCCTTCAGTCCTTCGTACCCTGAGGGTACCCAATTCTCCAGCAAGTGGCTCAGGGAGCTGCGCTGTATAAACACTGAATCCCCAGGCACCGAGACAAAGAAGTCTTGTGTCTGAGTACTGTACCTTCTTATGTTTGGAGGTGACCGTGGTATACTTCCAAACCTATGATGGGTCCTTGAAGGCCCTGAAGCGAAAGCTTGACAAACAGCTCTCCTCAGTCCTCCTCCCCACAGGGAGGTCATCGTATGCTAAAGAGGCCCTGGCAGATAACCTAGCGGCCTGGGCTACCGAGCCTGGGGACTCACACAGCAACGTCACAAGTCACCTCGTTCCTTAGCAGACCCCTCTGACCCCCTCCTCCCTGGAGATGAGGGAGGGGTCTATGCGCTACCCCGAAGTGCACAGCAGAACGGCTTGCGCGCGCCTGGTTCTTCCCTGTCCACTGCAAAGGCGGCAGGGATGGAGGCGGACCCTCAGAATCACCTGTAGGGCTTTCAAGAAGTCCACAGCCCCCTCCTCAAATTCTAGTCCACTAATCCCGAGAAAAGGGTCATCAGAAGATACGGCGTGAGGTGGTCGGGTGCAGTTTTTTGAATGCCCCACATCCCCACAGGTGATTCTAAATGCACCCCCATTAAGATACAAACACGCAGACAGGTCTTGTGACCCAAAAGAAACAGGTCGGCTTTAGGTTCCCCTTGATATTCCCTCCTTTATTTGCCAAGCTGTCTGTATTCTCTTCAGTGTCTGTCTAAGCCTAAGACAGAAGAGGCTTTGAACTTGGAGTGTCCCAAAGTCTCAGGCAACAGAAAGACAGCCCCTGCTCCCCATAGCCCACTGGCTCCGCGTGCCGCGATCTGGATACCCTGGAGTCTATGTAAGAAAGGAAGACATTTGACCAGTTGCTTCAGCAAACTGCCCGAAGCAAGGCCGCCTGTCGCCCGCACACCTTCGCGTCCCGACCGACTGTACAGGGAGGGGGCCCCACCCTGCACAGTCCACTGGCGCATCCCATCCCGCCCGGGTTTGTGGCAGGTGGCACTGTCAGGATGGGCGCAGGGGCCTCATTTGCAGCTCCTTTCCCAGCCGCGGGACCCACTCTTGCTTTGCCCTGGTTTTCCAAGTTGCTGCCGCGTTCCCCCACATCCCTTCCCAAACTGGTAACCTCTGTTTTGTGGCCGCGGTCTTACCTCACCATGCAACACTTGGGTGCGCGCTTCCCGGGGGCGCTCCCTCCTAGCTGCGTATTCCCTTACTTGGGAGGAAAGAGAAACCGAGAGAGACAAGGGGACCAAAGCGTGCGCCCGGGCGTCCTCTCAGTGCAGCCTCTCTGGGGCGGGGACATCAGGCGGCTTCCAGGGTTGGCGGCACCGGGGTCTTTCGCCTCTGTTTAGGGGTTCGACTGCTAGCAGGGCAGACTGCCGCTGCTGCCCACTACGGCACTGCGGCTCTGCACCCTGTCCCTCGCAGCATCGCAAGTCCAGCTGCCACTCTCACGGCGAGCCCTGCCCCCCGGGCGCAGAGCCCGCCCCCGCCACACACCCGCGCGCGCAGACACACGCGTCCCCCACAAACACACGGGTGCACACACATAAACACGTGCGCGCACACACGCACACCCACGGATACCGATCGTTCGGTGAGAACCTGTGAGTGCATGATCAGGGCACTCCTGACTGACAGCGCTTTGGTCAGGGAGGATGCATGAAGTACTGGAGGCTGCAAGAAACTGGCTGACTTCGAGGTAGAGAACAATTACTGGAAAAATACAGTATGCCCTGGCTGTTTATTTTCCTTAGCGTAGAAACCCAGGGGTCTGAGATGCCTACCTATTTCAACCAAGGCAGGTAAAAAATTTAAACATAAAAATCAATCAACAAGTTCTCTGTTTTCTAGGAACTTGGTGTCTCTGGTGTCCATTAGCATCAGTCCTGTACAGGAGGACATTTCTGACAGTCCTGAGACAGGGGCAGTAGATGGATCATCATTTCTCCTCTGCAGGTATGAATGGTTGGGGTTCATGCAGCTTGCCAGAAAAGGGCTCTGATGGAGGGAGGCGGTCTCAGGAATGAGAACTGTGATGTTCTTCCCTTTGCCCTTGCATGACCTTGGACTGTCTTCCAACAGGACAAATAGAGCATTTCTGAAACAAACAAAACACACCCCCACACAAGAAAACACACCTACGCACAAGAAAAAAAAACAAACAATGTGCCAACTTGCACAGCCACTTTGGAAATCGGTATGGTGGTTTCTCAAAGAATTGTGCATCAATCTACATAAACCCAAAGGATGCAGACCTATACCACAAGGTCATGTGTTCAACTATGTTCATAGCAGCATTATTCGTAATAGCCAGAACATTGAAACAACATAGATGTCTCTCAGATGACGAATGGATAAAGAAAATGTGGTAAATTTACACAATGGAGTACTACTTAGTGGTAAAAAGCAATGACATATTGAACTTTGCAAGGCAAATGGATAGAACTAGAAAAAACCATCCTGAGTGAGGTAACCCAAACACAGAAAGACAAACACAGTAGGTACTCACTCAAATGTGGGTATTAGAGATAAAGCAAAGGATAACCAGCCTGTAGTTCACAACCCCAGAGAAGACAGGCAACATTGAAAACCCTGAGAGATATACATGGATCCCCTCCTCCCTGCCAGAAGGGGAAGTAGACAAGATCTTCTTAGTAAATTGGTGGTGAGGGGTGAGGGTGGTAGGGAAATGGAGAAGGGAGAAGTGGAGTGAGGAGAAGAACATGAGGGATCAGGAAAATTGACTTGGGTAAAGGACAATGAGAGAGAGAGAGAGAGAGAGAGAGAGAGAGAGAGAGCAAGGAAAGAGATTCCTTGAAAGAGGGAGCCATTGTGGGGTTAGCAAGAAACCAGGCACTAGGGAAACTACCAGGAAACCACACGGATGATCCCAGCTAAGAATCTAAGCAATAGTGGAGAGGATGCCTGAACTGCCCTTCCTCTGTAATCAGATGGATGACTACCTAAATTGTCCATTATAGAACCTTCATGCAGTAACTCATGGAAGCAGATGCAGAGATCCACAGCCAAGCTCTGGGCCCAACTCCTGGAGTCCAGTCATCAAGAGGGAGGAGCAAATTATGAGCAAAGAGGCCAAGACCATGATGGGGATACCCACAGAAACAGCTGACTCAAGCTAGTGGGAGCTCCCTGATGTCAGCATAACACCAAACTAGGTCCTCTGAATGTGGGTGACAGTTGTGTAACATGGGCAGTTTGTGGGGCCTCTGGCAGTGGAACCAATATTTATCCCTAGTGCATGAATTGGCTCTTCGAAGCCCATTCCTTATGGAGGGAATCCTTGCTCAGCCTAGATACAGCAGGGGAGAACCTTGGTCCTGCCTCACAAGTGATGTGACAGACTTTATTGTCTTCCCATGGGAGGCCTCACCCTCTCTGAGGAGAAGATGCAGGGTGGGGTGGGGAGAAGTTGGGAGGAGTGGGAGGACGGAAGTGAGAGGGAACTGGGATTGGTATGTAAAATAAAATTGTTTTAAAAATAAAAAAATAAAAGAATAGAGACAAGAAAAAATAAAAAATAGAGAAAATGATTTGGGACTGAGGGTAAGGAACAGGAGGCAGCAGTGGCCTAGGCCCAAGGACTTGTGGGACTGTCTCTTTCCATGACGTGGGTGTCTGTGTGGGGGCGGCGGCGGTGGCGGCGGCGATGTTATTTCAGGCATGTCACATCAGCAGAATGACTTCTGTCCATTTCACACCACATTTAGAGTCACCAGGAGTTTAGTCTCATCTGTAAAATATGTGGAGTTTACCAGTTTCCACAGCCAAGAATTCTTTTCTGCCAGTGGGCAGTAAAGGTCCCTGGGTAGAACTGCAGCCAAGAAAAGCTTCCTGCAGAGTGCAGAAGTGCTGGGGGCCCTGGGTGTCTAGGCATCTGGGGAGGAAGCTGCAAACGTGACTGTTGACAAGCACTAGAGGACCCTGGTGGTTAATTCATACCGGGCCACCAGCAGGCAGGGTGAAGAAACCAAGAAGGAACCAGAGGCCCAGAGAGCACTCTTCACTTCCTTCCTCATGGTGCTGAGGGCAAAGCTGATGCTGGAACCCTGCACTCATGCCTCATCCTGCTAGCTACTCTCCACGCTTCATCCCACCTACGCTGGGTAGCTTCTTACACTTGGGTAGACTGATACACTTAGTGTGAAGGTGTTCTGTGACACACGCCTGTGTGTGTGTGTGTGTGTGTGTGTGTGTGTGTGTGTGTGAGAGAGAGAGAGAGAGAGAGAGAGAGAGAGAGAGAGAGAGAGAGACAGAGAGATCTTCCTTCATCTCTTGTCTCCCTGCCACTTACTGACTTGTTCATGTCACGGGTGTTTACTAGTTTCTGCTGTGTCTTCTGGCACTTCCCACTGACTCCAGTCATGGGCCTCACCTGGAAAGAAAGAGGAACCTCAAGACAGGAAGGGCTTAGAACTGCTTGTGTCCTGTCCTTGTGAGAGGCAGGCCCTGTCACATGTTTGCTGTATACATGCTCACTGAGCACAGACAGGCTTGCTGTATACATCCTCACTGAGCACAGACAGGCTTGCTGTATACATTCTCACTGAGCACATGATTGTTGTATACATTCTCACTGAGCACATGCTTGCTGTATACATCATCACTGAGCACATGCTTGCTGTATACATCATCACTGAGCACAGACTTGCTGTATACATCCTCACTGTGCTGGGCTGAGCGACTGTGGAATGTGGGATCTTTATCTTCTAAACTGCATCCTCGAGGAGGCAAACAGTTTTGCATATGCGTCACAAGAAAAACATTTGCCTCAACCTAGTCTGGACTCACTCCAGAGAAGGCCAATTTGGAGAGCCTGGATGGGCAGTGCATGATTACAGGTAGGAGTCAGGACAAAATGGGGTTGTTCTATCTTTTACAACGAGGTGCACATAAGCTTGACGGGGCAAATGGGAAAGGCGGGCAGGAGTAGAGTTTGAGGATCCAACTTGGCAAGCTGGGAAAGGTATTATATAATAACAAGAAACTCTAGAAAGGATGCCAAGCAAGAATTTGGAGAACAGAGATGCCTGTAAAGGTTGGTAAACATGAAAGTGTTTGCTCCTATAAAATATGTCATTTACGAAGTCAAAATTGTTCACCAATGTGTTTGTAAATAGATTCCTTGGGGAGTGGGATTTCAGAATAAGTCCACAAAGCCCTGCCAACAGGCGGTTAAGAGACGGCTGCCTGAGGTCCATTCTAGTAACAGGCAGAGAAAGGTCAGAGAAATATGGAAGTCATCTGCATGGGGTGACGGAGGCAGCAAAAAGAAATAGCTAATCTACTTAGGAAGATATGGGAGGCAGTGCTAGGATGGGGTCGGAAAGGGTGGAAGATGTTAGACTCAAAGACCAGGAAGAAATGGGTGCTCTGTACTTCGAGAAAGCAAAAGTCAAGAAATTGACCATTTGTGTTCTGGGCCTTCCCAGCAAAAGAAAGCGAGGCTGCGAGGAGAGGGCCGGGAGAAAGTCTCCAAATAGCCTGCATGGACTGGAGACACAGTGAGTGAGTTCTTGTCTTTTCTTTTTTTGTTTTGGTGTGTGTGTTTCCCTTCAGACAAGAGGGAAGCAAGCTGTCTGATGCCAGCGTCCCCAAGGTAGTAGGTGCTCTCCATTGGAACGGAGCATTGGGGAAGGACACAAGGAGAATAATCTCTTGTGAGGGGCCACATCCCAGGTGCCGCTGGTGCTCGCTGTACAGGGTCTCCAGCAGAGGGGATGAAAACCCAAGCCATGAACCCTGTCTGCCTGGAAGGGAGGGGTACCTTTTCTTCTATCAGCATGGAGGTCTGACTTCTGTGCTCTCTGTTTGCAGAGGCTGAAGCCATAGTTCATAGTTAAGGGTTTATGTAGAACCTGCTGCATACGCAGACACTAGGGGAGCTGGAGGAGCCTGTGCACCGCCACTCTTAGGTGATGCTCTAAGATGCATGGTGAATACAGAGGAGGAGCCTTAGTGTTTCTCCTTGGAGAATCTGCAACCTGTGTCAGAGACAAACAAACAGTGGGAATAATGGTTAAGAAGGAAGAAATGAAACAAAGAACCAAATGCCACATGGTACAGGGCAGGCCCTCTGTAGAAAGAACAGCCCTAGGCTTGAAGAGACCAGATGCACTTCCGGGAGGAGGAGGGCAGGGTTTAGGAATGGAGCCTATGTTCATTTCCAGGTAGAGAAGAGGCTGTGAGTTGGAGTCAGGGCAGGGGCAGGGAATCTGGGGCCTCTAAGTGCAGGTTTCCAGGCCTAGTGGCTTCCCTCGTGCCTCTCCCAGCCACAGAGCGCTCTGATGAGTCACCCTTATTTCTGAGAGACAGGGCAGTTTGGGGTGTTTAACTGGCTCAGCAGACTGCATTTCCCGAGCCTCCAATGCTGGCAGCTCACACACACCATGTTGCTCTGGGAACACATCATCCGAGCCAACAGCTGATGCCTGATCACCATTGCCACAGCAGAGCGAGGGCTGAGTCAGCCACCTGTGTCTGGAAAATTTAAGTCCAGCTGTCTCTCTGTCTGTCTCTGTCTCTGTCTCTCTCT